TGTAGTTTAGCACCAAATCGAGTAGGCTAACATTTGTAGATTATAGTGTGTGTTATTATTTAGTTAATGAATAAAGTTAGTTAGTGGTTCTAAGAGATTGAACTATGTTGTCTATTGTTTCAGGGATTTAACTTTAAGTGTTAAGACGTACACTGTAATGTGATGTCAATAAGTACAAGTATTGTGGATTCATATGCATAAGCAAAACATTAGTCAAATATAAGTTCATACTATGAAATATTTTATTATTACCAGTCTTTCTGAATATGATGTAACATTTTAAATTTTGATGGTTACAATAATTATTTATTTACAGGGAATAATCAAACGGAAAATAACCGTCTTCAGGTAATTTTTCTGCACTCGTCATTTATACCGTATCTTAAACGTTATCAACTGTAGTATTTATTTGAACATTTGGAATAGAACCTACTTATTGATAATCTCATTAAACTTGGTAGTTTTATGTTGTTCTCTGTAGGAATACATGTTTTTACTACTGTTCCCATAGCATGAGAAGTGAATGTTTAGAATCACTGTCCGTACTTGCTCAGAACAGAACATTCCAGTGTGCTAGTAAGGGAAGATCAAGATTTTATTTTGAAATAATTAGGTTTTGACTAAAAGGTTAGAAAGCAGTGTTGCTAAAAATCTTTATATTAGACAAGCATGTTTCTTGAAAACCTTTTTCCTCAGCTCGTGGGCTTCGCAGGGAAAATCTATGCATAGTGTTAGAAAGAAATTTTCATGTAGATGCTCAGAATCCCTTTATAAATTAAAATAGGCTCAAAAATAAGCAAAAAAATGAATTTAAAATTTAAAAAGATAACAAGACCTTAAGGGTTGTCATGCTGGCGACGACAAACAGAAAATCAAAGCAAATGGAAGAAATTCCAATCACATGTTTTATTTACTGCGTGGGGTGAAAATAGAGAAGTCCGTAGATTACATATTTTTGGTCGAGTTTTCGACCACTGGACGACCTCTAGTAGGCTATATATAGATTTACACAGCCAAACAGCCCGCCCAACCCAACCCTTAAAGTTATTGTTCCAACGATTTTTAATTTCGATGTTTCACCCTTAAAGGTAAACATCGCAATACTCTTTAAAGATCCATTTTTTTACCTGCCAATGTAATGGCCCCTCTCTAAATAGAGTTTTATACATTAAATAGAGTTTTATTTAATTAATAGGGTTTATTTTTTTATAATTCAACATCAAACAATTAGAGGTTTGTAAATTTTTCAACTGTTACGTATGTAGGTATATCGCCAGAGTTGTTCTTGCGGTTAAAAGTCTACGAAAAGTGGTTAAAGAGCGTGGGACTAATGTCCTGAAGGCCCTTCTGTGACTTTTTATCCCTTTGCCTGAGATTTTGTCTTATTTATTCTTTCTTTCCGTGTTATGGCCCGGGGTTTTCTGCCCCTTTCTTTTCTTTTGACTTATTTTCGCATGTTTCCGCACCTTTTGGGCATGATCCCTCAGCCTGATGTTATTTCTGATTCATAATGTCATTTTGGGTTTCGGCTTGGTTTTTCATTTTTGCGTTCTTCTTTTTCCGCATAGGCTCGCTTGTTGCCATGCCGTTCCTTTTGCCCCTTGATGTTGGTAGGGGCATTGGAGTGCTTAATATTTTATTTTGCGCCCTGCTGGGGCCCTGCACCTCCACCTCTGGCCACATTTTTATATTCAGTTAACACTTTTGCTTTCTCTCATAACCGCTAGGATACAAAATATGAGAAATTCGCTTAACTTGTTAAAATATGAAATTTTTTGGCAGCCCCATGTCATTACTTATAATACATAGGCTATGTTTGTAATATCCACTCTATGTCTGTGGCTTCATCGAACAGTGGTTTTTATTTTTCTATGATACTCTTTACATCATACTTCCATTCTTCTGTAAAGGTTGCATCTTTTGTAAAGGTTTTCCTGAGAAATTAAATTACACTTTTAATGCTTGTTATGTAGATCATTCCTATCAATACAGTACTTACATCTAGCTCCTCGTCCGAAGGGTTGAAAATTATCGGAATTATCGGGTGCATTCGTATCGCTGCTACTGAACGTAACTTCAGTCAAAATCGCTGGACGAGGAGGCGGGAGAGGGGCTTGGGGGTCGGTGCAGGGGTCGGTGTAGAGGGGTCTCGGGGCGTAGACCGCTGAAGAACAGGATCCCCTCCGAGGCGGAGCAGTCAGCAGCAATGAGGCACAAGAAAGGGTGGTCTCTGAAAATGTATTTTATTTCAATAAAGGCAACATTTGTATCGATTTATATTATCCTAGATTTAACTGAGATTGCTTGCAAGTACAGTTGTACCATAGTACATAATTAATCCAGTCGCCAATATAAATATTGTTACACAAGATTCTCACAAGATTCAGTTGTTCATGTTCATTAATGTTGTTTATATTATGGGTATAAAGAAACTATGAGTGCAAGGATGATTCGTATATGAAACACTTAAAAATATAAAGAGCAAGGGAGTACAATATACAAAAAAACTTTTGTTCCTAGAAACAAAATTATCGTAAAATCTTTACAAAAAAAGTATTTACAGTATTATTATCAGACAATAGGCTATAGCACCAAAATATAAAACTACCTCTCTTCTCTTTGTGGACTCAAGGACAGTAAAAGTATAAAGGAAGAAATCAAGTAATTATCTTTAATGAAACAACATAATTAAAATTTACAATATAATATTGATAACATCTTTACTCACCGAACAAAGTTAAAGACCATCATGAAACTCAAGTGGAAAATGAGAAAAAGTATTAAGGGGCCTAGATAAAACTTAGGATGGAAAAATGTACGAGTGGTTCTAAAAGTAGTAGAAAATACTCTTACCTGATGGTTGCTGTGGATTTTATTAAGTTTTTTCAGTACTTTTGTTGTTATATTGATCGCAATTTGGGAATAGAGAGCTATTATTGGCCACGTACACAGAAATTTGTTTTAGAAACGTAACTCTAAACCAAGTCCATCGTAACAGAAATTGTAATAAAACTCTACAAATAAACTCTGCAAAATTAAAATAAACCAGTGCTAAAAAGTTACAATTTTTGTTTATTATATTTCTCAACCCATTATTAAAACATATGAAAATTAACAAATAAAAACATATGTCTTTCCAAAGTGCAATAAAGTATTTTTTCAAAGATATATAAAGAGTACAACAAAGACCTAAAACAATTTCTTTGATTTTATGTTATTTAGAAATGCAGAAACTATTTACCAATCAAAATTAAGTTAGTAAATTAAATGAAATATTTTAAAGTATTAAAAATTTATATAAAAGGTGTTTTTGATTATGAACTTCTGACAAACTATGCCTGCATTTAACAAAAATGTCACTGATAAAATCGCTTAAAAATACGATAAAAACTATGCATAATACACGAATGATAGAACTAGACTCATGCTTGTAATCAATGGTTCAACAGGGGATAAATAAAGATTCAAAATTTAAATGTAAATCGAGATAATACTTTTTACAAAGTCTTTATTAAACACCACAATTGAAACCGTAAACACACGACACACGGATTAATAGGGAGCAAGAGGGGCACGAGCAATATAAAAACATGTTAAGAAGTAGTTTCATGGTGAAAAAAAACAACCCCTAACGTGCAACCCCTGAACTGGAGAGGTGCATAACAAATATGCGCAACAAGTGAGGGTAAAAAACACCCCGCGTGAAAAACCCGATGGGCGGGGTTAAAGAGCAACACGCTTATTATGCACCTGCGAAGGGTGAAGGGATAATAATAAACACGCGACCGTGTAAAAAACGCGGGAACAAGTGGGGTGTTTTGGCGGGTATTAGCCTACATTGGGCGAGGGGTGAGGCAATTTGGGATGAATTTTTTTTAATCTTTTTATAAATTGGTATAAACGGGTGCCAATGTATTTCAAGCTTTTGTGATTATAACAGAGGTGTATAGTCAGTGTTATAACGTAAGTTACTTGATTAGCACATTTAGTAACGTATAACCGACACTATCTGTAACGTCTTGTAACATAATTATCACATGAATGGAAATTTGTTACTTGATAATTACAGGATTCGTATTCACTACAATAAAAAATACTACAATTTGTGGTTGAATCTAATCACAATTAATAATAAAAAATAGTTTTAAAAAATATAAATTTTATCCTATGAACCTATCATTGAGAAAAGAAGAAATCATATTTTTGCAACTTCCTTCACTGTTCCTACCGTTCACCTACGTTTGTTATTTCTCCAAACATAGTGTTTTTAAGAGAAGCATTGTTTTAGATCGATCCGAGAATTTTCTTCTTTACAGGAAGCATTGAATATTAGACTAATATTAGGGATCTCATAAAATATATTTACGCCACACTACATTATTTTGACGAACTTCCCACGCAAGGATTTAGTCCAGAAAACAGCTGTTTGCCGCCAGCTTATTCAAATGGGGTTTCATTGCGTACTACTGTGCTGCAATGAGTTTTGCCGGACACCAATCAGCTGATTATACTGTATTTAGGTGGCAGTGAGTGGTTATAAACAAAAACATAACCTCTCTTAGAGGTTATGACTAGTGATTTTTAGTCCTTTAGTTGGTGGAAATATATAAGGATTTGTACGGATTTAGTAGTATGGCGTAAACTATCGTACGTAACTCGTCCAAAATGTGTGTACCGGACTCGTATGGTAATCCCGTACTCAACTTCGTCTCGCACGGGAACGACCACACTCGTCCGGTAAACACTTATTTTCAGGACTAGTAACGTAATATACTATTACCTACGACAGTTTTTTAAAGTAGCCGTTTCAGTCCAGTTCTTAGAATTGAAAAGTTTCACTTTACAGCTGTTTACTTTCATATCCGCATAGTTTCATTTCATATCCGCATAGTTTTCTCATATCCACACAGGTAAGGCCGGTATTACACTATCATAGTTCTATGACATATTATATTATCAAATATATGATAACTAGCTGAGTACCCGTCCTTCGTCCGGGGTAGATGTATGTTTAAATGGTGCTTTTTGAAATCTGAAATTAAAAACATTGTAAAATAAGTAAACTCAAGGGAGGTGAAAAAGTTTTAATATGAACATGTTAAAATAAAATATATATTTACAATACAGACTTATAAACAATGTTTACAGCTTTCCTATCTTTTGTGAAAATATACAGGTTTTTTCCACTAGAAACACGTGAGCAAGCAACGTATAATTGCCCATGGGAGAAACATTGTGTTTCCAAATAGAGGCCTGCAACCTGTAGAGTCTGTCCTTGTGCTTTATTTATCGTCATTGAAAAAGCAACCTTTAAGGGGAACTGAAGGCGCTTAAAATTGAAGGGTAGGTTTGCTGTTGTAATGGGAATCCTGGGAATGAGTACTTCTTCCCCCTTTGCAGAACCAGTTAAAATCTTAGCTTCTATGACATTTTCTTTTAATGATGTAATTAAAAGCCTAGTACCGTTACACAACCTAGGTGGCTCTAAGTTCCTAAGTAGTATTACTGGGATTCCTAATTGCAATTCAAGCTTGTGCGGGGGAATACCAGGCAGTTCCAAGGTGTTAAGAAACTCAACAGGGTAGTGTAGTGCTTGCTCCTCTTCTGTAATTGAATCAATGGACAAATAAGATTTAACTTCACCATGAATAATGTTCATAATTTTGCTGTTTATTTTGTTCACATCGTCATTTTTGGGGGCTAAAATTGCTCTGCAGGATAACCATTCAGGATCATAGTGGTTGTTTTGTAAGTCAGGAAACACACTTGCTATAAGCTCTTCCGCAGAAGCAACCATGTGACCAAAGTTTTCTGGGAAGGAAATCATCTTATGTTGGTCAGTTTTCATTCTACCTTCACCAATCTTGAGCAAATCACCTGAAAATTGTCTGGCATCACAGTCGTTATGGAGACTTACCCTCATATTTTGAACCAAGTGATACTGCTCAATATGACTCCATAGGACAGACTTTTTCAAACAGGAATTGATTTCATCTGCTGGAGTTCCACGTTGGATAACTGGTAGGGTTTGTCTAAAGTCCCCTGACAACAAAACAACTAAGCCCCCCATTAAATCTTGACTATTTCTGATGTCTTGAAGTGTTGCATTCAATGCTTCAAATGCTCGTTTGTGAGACATTGTACATTCATCCCACACCAGTAATGTACAACGTCGGAGGACTTCAGCTCGATCAGAGGTTTTGCTGATATTGCACTGTGTGGTTTCAGCAGTTGCTAGGTTAAGTGGTAGTTTCAATGCAGAATGTGCAGTTCTTCCACCAGGTAGAAGTGTTGAAGCAATGCCAGAGGATGCAATCGCAAGAGCAATGTGATTTTCTTTTCTCAGCTTAGCCAATATGAGAGTTATAAGAAAAGTTTTACCTGTTCCACCTGGAGCGTCTAGGAAGATAATTCCTCCTTTTCTACTCTCAATCCTCTCTAAAATTGTATCATATACCACTTGTTGCTCGGGTAGAAGTTTTGGTAACATCTCTTGTACTTGGAGCTGCATATCGTCGATGTTATATGCCATTTCTTTAGAAGTTCAGGGTTGATTCCATTCAATAAGTTTGGAGCGGGTAAGCCAAACGAACTTAAATCTTTCCCACTCATAGACTTCACCAGTTCTTGGATATTCGTTAGGGCCTCATTGTAAACTATGTCATTGTACTGAAGGTCAGGGACGACTTCCCTGTGTCGATGTAAGATATCATCAGACAAATCATTTCTGAATGATTCCCACAAAGTTATAGGGCTTGACAACTCACACGTACTTATCAATATTGCAAATAGATGGCGTACACGAAAAGCTGAGCGAGTCAGAACAGCTTCTTCCATCGTTGACTCCCAATGGTTGTCATTCTCAAGCAGACCAAGGGCCTGACAGGCTTCTCTGTATGTGCCACAAATTTGGTTATTTACTGTCCTTAGTTGCTGAAAAGATGTAGGGCCTCTTACTTTATGAAGAAGCAAACGAAGACAATAGCACTCAAAGTTTGCCGGATGAACAGTATATACACGACCTAATGCATCTGAGTATTTAACATCTGCATAACCATGGACAGGTGTTCCTTGAATTCGGCGCCTGAATACTTTCTCGGTTGCGTTGAAAGTAAAATAGTGTGGAACAATAGAGTTATGATGTTTTCTAATCCAGAGGTAGCTACTACTCTATATTATAACTTTTTACACTTCCTGTAGATTTTACATTCTATTCTAATAATGAATATCTTTTTACGAGCGTTTCAAGGTCATTACATGTATAATTTCAACCAAGTTCCTCTTAACTTAACCTACCCTTGCAATAACATTGTTTGAATGACATTAAATTTACTAATTCTAAGCTGATATACAAATATTTCAAATTAAAAACAACAATAAAAAAGTTGTATATATGCCTTTGCCTTTGGTGCATAAATATTAGGAGCTATAAATAGTAGGACTAAATACTAAATAGTCCTATTATTTAATAGCTAAATAGTATGTTTCTGTTTGTTTTGTTTTAGTAGTAAGAGTATTAATGTTTTTGTTTGTTCACATAGTATATAATAAGTTTTTTTTTATATTCAATGCTGAGTGAGCAATGCTTTTTAGAAGCAAGATCACCTGTTTCATTTCATTCAAATTAAATGCTATACCATAATATTAACCAGATGTTGTAAATTATTGTTTGTCTATGTTTTATTTTATAATTTAAAAGTAAGTAAAGGATTTGAGATTTTTATTTGTTTATTTTTTGAAAATGTTTTTTAAATGTAATTAGAAAGTTAAAAGTTTTTGATATATTAAGTTTTATATAAAGTTTTTTTTGATTTATTGGAATTTAATCTTTTTTAACATACATGTGGGACTTTCGGATATTAAAATGCCTAAAAGAAAAAAGAGCAACCTCTCCAGTCGTCCTGCTAAGGCAAGGGCAATGGCATCTTTGCGAGAAAGGGAGTCCTTTCAAGAGAGACAAGTCCGTCTGCAAAAAAACGCAGAAACTACAGCACTACAACGATTTTCTGAAACTTCAGAACGTCGTCAGGCTCGATTACAAACCAATGCTAACAGGATTGCTTACCTACGGTCCCAAGAAACTCCTCAACAGCGTCTGCTACGTAGAGAAGAGGATTCAGTAAGACACGCTGCACAGCGTTTAACTCAAACTAATGAACAGCATGAAGCCAACCTACTCGCTCGAAGAAATGACAGGCAACAATTTATGACAAGAAAGTGGGATTCATTTAAACACATAGCATTTAATTATGACCCAACAATTGATTACAAAAACCACAATCTTCTTTCAATTGGACATATTAATAGTATATGTAGGCATTGCAGAGCAGCCAAGTGGCCAGGAGAATCTGTTGGAATGTGTTGCTCAAGTGGCAAAGTCAAAGTTACTCATTTGGAAGAGCCACCTGAACCCCTTCTCACTTTGCTCAAGGGAGAAACAAGGGAATCAAAAGATTTCTTACAAAATATTAGAAAATATAATATGTGTTTCCAAATGACATCTTTTGGAGCATCTGTTCAGACTATTGTTCCTCATTTTCATACTACTTTTACTGTTCAGGGACAAGTTTATCACCGCATTGGTAGCCTTCTTCCTCCTTCAGGAAAGCCCCATAGCTTTCTACAAATATATTTTATTGGGGATCAGGACATTGAAACAGACACACGTTGCAACAACATACCTGGTGTTTGTCGTACAACGGTCGAAGATATACAGCAAATGTTTCATGAAGAAAATCAATTAGTACGTTCTTTTAAAACTGCTATGGAACTTCTTCCAACAGATAACTACAAAGTTGTAATTCGTGCTGACCGCCGTCCACCTGGTGAACATGAACGCCGGTACAATGCTCCTACTGCAGATGAAGTGGCGATTGTCATTGCTGGAAATGAGTTTGAGAGCCGAGACATTGTATTAAGGAAACGTGATGGCAATCTTCTCCGAGTGTCTGAAACTCACCGCTTCTACGATGCACTACAATACCCACTAATTTTCTCAAAAGGACAAGAGGGGTATCATTTTGGTATCCCCATGATGGATCCAAATACTAATCTCCCTACAAACAAGAAGGTTTCGTCAATGGATTTCTATGCGTACATGTTAATGGTACGCGAAGACGATTTTAATACTATCTTGAGGTATAGACAGCTCCTAAACCAGTTCATAGTTGACATGTACGCCAAAATAGAAACTGAACGCCTACTGTACATTAAGCTCAATCAAAAAAAAACTTAGGGCTGAGAGCTACGTGCATTTGAGAGATGCTTTGAACAATGATGCGACACTGAGTGCTAATGATATTGGCCAATCTGTTATCCTTCCTTCAAGTTTTGTAGGATCTCCGAGGTATTTAAGTGAAAGGGCACAAGACGCTTTGACCTATGTTAAAAACTACGGTCGCCCGGACTTATTTATAACTTTAACATGCAATCCAAAATGGCCCGAAATATTGGAATCCTTGCTTCCAGGGCAGAAAGCAACAGACAGACATGACATTGTTTCACGTGTGTTTCATCAAAAAATAAAGATTTTTGTCGCAGTGATCAACAAAGGGGAAGTTTTTGGCTCTGTCAGATGCTTTATCTACACTGTAGAGTGGCAGAAACGTGGATTACCTCACATCCATTACCTCCTTTGGTTATGTGAAAAAATCCGTCCTAATCAGATTGACAGTGTCATTAGTTCTGAAATCCCAGAACGTACCTCTGATCCGGTTCTTCATGAGTATGTACTGAAACATATGGTACACGGACCTTGTGGTGCTTACAGCCAACGGTCTCCATGCATGAAAGACGGCAAATGTACGAAACACTACCCAAGGCCCCTGATTGAAAACACCCAAACAAATGATGATGGTTATCCTATGTACCGTAGACGGAGTCCACATGATGGTGGATTCACGGGTCATATTAATATGAAAGCTGCTGGAAATGTTGCTGTGGAGATAGACAACCGCTGGATTGTCCCATATTGCCCAACTTTGATTAAGATCTTCAATGCGCACATCAATGTAGAATACTGCAGCTCAGTTAAGGCCATAAAGTACGTTTGTAAATACATACACAAGGGAAGTGACCAAGCTGCATTCAATTTGGTGAAAGGCGCACAATTAGACAATCTAAAGGATGAAGTGACTATTTATCAAACCGGACGTTACTTAAGTAGTAATGAGGCTGCTTGGCGCATATTTGGATTCCCAGTGCATGAGAGGAAACCAACTGTGACTCATCTATCAGTACACCTAGAAAATGGTCAGCGGGTATACTTTAATGAGGAAAACATGAATGAAAGATTGCAAAACCCACCACCAACCACGTTGACTGCATTCTTTGATCTATGCCAAAATGATGATTTTGCAAAAACACTTTTGTATCATGAAGTTCCACACTATTTCACTTTCAACGCAACCGAGAAAGTATTCAGGCGCCGAATTCAAGGAACACCTGTCCATGGTTATGCAGATGTTAAATACTCAGATGCATTAGGTCGTGTATATACTGTTCATCCGGCAAACTTTGAGTGCTATTGTCTTCGTTTGCTTCTTCATAAAGTAAGAGGCCCTACATCTTTTCAGCAACTAAGGACAGTAAATAACCAAATTTGTGGCACATACAGAGAAGCCTGTCAGGCCCTTGGTCTGCTTGAGAATGACAACCATTGGGAGTCAACGATGGAAGAAGCTGTTCTGACTCGCTCAGCTTCTCGTGTACGCCATCTATTTGTAATATTGATAAGTACGTGTGAGTTGTCAAGCCCTATAACTTTGTGGGAATCATTCAGAAATGATTTGTCTGATGATATCTTACATCGACACAGGGAAGTCGTCCCTGACCTTCAGTACAATGACATAGTTTACAATGAGGCCCTAACGAATATCCAAGAACTGGTGAAGTCTATGAGTGGGAAAGATTTAAGTTCGTTTGGCTTACCCGCTCCAAACTTATTGAATGGAATCAACCCTGAACTTCTAAAGAAATGGCATATAACATCGACGATATGCAGCTCCAAGTACAAGAGATGTTACCAAAACTTCTACCCGAGCAACAAGTGGTATATGATACAATTTTAGAGAGGATTGAGAGTAGAAAAGGAGGAATTATCTTCCTAGACGCTCCAGGTGGAACAGGTAAAACTTTTCTTATAACTCTCATATTGGCTAAGCTGAGAAAAGAAAATCACATTGCTCTTGCGATTGCATCCTCTGGCATTGCTTCAACACTTCTACCTGGTGGAAGAACTGCACATTCTGCATTGAAACTACCACTTAACCTAGCAACTGCTGAAACCACACAATGCAATATCAGCAAAACCTCTGATCGAGCTGAAGTCCTCCGACGTTGTACATTACTGGTGTGGGATGAATGTACAATGTCTCACAAACGAGTATTTGAAGCATTGAATGCAACACTTCAAGACATCAGAAATAGTCAAGATTTAATGGGGGGCTTAGTTGTTTTGTTGTCAGGGGACTTTAGACAAACCCTACCAGTTATCCAACGTGGAACTCCAGCAGATGAAATCAATTCCTGTTT